TACAAGTAGAATACGTCCAATCAAATTGGAACGCCGGGTATACTACTCTAACAGAACCTTCGGGCCGGATTTATACAGTATGACATGATAATAAAAGATAATCCGTTATTCCAAATAATTTAGTAAATTAGTCAACGGATTTTCAGAAAAGTAATGTATTATCAGTAGCATCCCAAATCATGTTTTCGCAAACTAATACGTATTTTTAGAAAGGATTTTTGCAAAAATTGCACTCTGATTTTATTAAGATAGTGGGGTGTTACAGTTGCCGACACGGTCTAGCAGGCGCACAGCACCATCGCGAGCTGCCGTTCAGCATCACCGTGAGCCCTAGCGAGTCGCGCATCGCCGCCGAGCACGCACATGTGCACCGATAGCCCCATTTCAGCCGTTTCTTGACTCCTCTCGTGTGTTTTTCCCGTGAACGTTACTCAACGGCTTGAAATCTATATATATTATGTGTTATTATGGGGCTTATTGGAGTCTTTGCTAGTTATGCATGTAGGGTTGTTAAATTATGTGTTCATGTGATCTTGTGGTGAAGTGATTGATCAAGCAGGTTAATGTGTAACCCCCCCCCCAACCCCCCTTGTTATATGTGTTAGAATGAAATATATGGGTTAACATGATGTAATGGAGTTGTTTATAACATTGAATTTCATTGATGAAGTAATATTGTGAATTGAAAGAATTATCACGTTTTTGCGGTCTCTGTTTTGCCTCTGTTATGACCATCAAAAACTTGTTTTCTGAAAATATGTTCTGCTTATTAATTTTAGTTTATCCTGTTATCTTTCAATGGGCTTTGGAGTTTTGAAAATCCGATTTAGATTGAATGAGATATTATTTTTACAAAATATTTATGCAAGCAGTTTTCTGTAAACCCAAGAGCATGTATATATTAAATGTTTGGCATGGTTTTTATGGTTCTATGTGCTTAAATGTGATAGTGATCTTTATGAAATATGTAGCCTTATGTGTTAACTTCCTTTTAGTTTTTGAATAAAGTCAAAAACATGTCTGAAGTATGAGATATCCCAGTTTTACTGAGGCTCTGTAGGATGTATAATTCTGTTCTTGGACTGCAACCTTATTTCGAATGTATGATGAATGTCTATGTCCCAATGCCTTTATTTGCCATTAATGTCTTCACGAAAGTTGTAGCCTTATTTATTTGCTGTTTGTTGGTTTTTGAATCATGTTATTTGGAGGTCTGCAGCCTGAGTTATGTGATACTTACTGAAGTTCTGTAAGTATAAAATTTCAGTTTTCTGACTGCAACCATTTTGCAAATGTTTGTTGAATTATATCCTGGTAAATGACTTTATCTGTTGTCGATGTTTTCATAAGAGTTGTAGCTACATGTCTTAGAATTCATATGCAACTGGAATCACATCTATATGACATGTGTGATGCAAGTTATGTCTATTTTAAAATTTCTGCGCGGGTTATGTTTTGAAAAACTTGTGTTGTATTTTCGAAAATAGAATTTACTTGTTAAATGCATACTTGTATGACTTATATGAGCTGAGTTGAACTAAGTGAATGTTGTTACAAGTGTATTCATGTGTCAGATAGTAATTTATAGGGCCATATTGATAAATGTAGGTTCGACGAGCTGAATCCTGGACCTAAATACTTGTCTTATGTGAATCTACCACTTTGCTAAACAGGACGGTTTATTTAAATATGTATGCCGTAAATTTTATTTATGTTCTGATGTATGGTATGATCAAAGTATCATATAAACCATGTAGCGTTCAATATGAGTTGTACCGACCATCGAACGGTTATCCCTGTAGCTATAGAACGTACCTGATGGGTACTCTTCTTTATTTATGTATGGTCGTAAGACCAAGGCATGTGCCCTCGGCTGGTGATCCTCGTTTGTAAGACCAAGGCGTAGGTCTTGGCCGTCGGGGTGGATTACTCCTACTGGCTGGGCATCGTTGTAAAACCAAGGCGTAGGTTTTGGCATTCGAATCGTGTATCAGCCGTAGTCTATGCGTAGGTGTGCACATGACAGTTGATCTGGGATATGAGATGATTTATTGATTCGTATACATGCTGAGACCATACTTGTATTACGTGATTTATGAATTATTTG